AGCCCCGCAGCGCCCCCAGCGCCCCAGCGCCCGCAGCGCCCGCGGACCCAGCGCTGCTCCCACTGCCCTCACAGCCGCTGGGCCGCCTCTGGTCACAGAGCCCCAGCACGTCTCTACTGTCATAGAATCACAGAGTGATTCCGGTTGGGAGGGGCCTTTCGAGGTCATCTAGTTGGGCAGCCTGGTTGGAGCAGGGACACCTTCCGTGAGACCAGGTTGCTCAGAGCCCCATCCGACCTGGCCTGGAATGTTTCCAGGAATGGGGCGGGGGGGACACCACCTACCACCCCACTGGTGCCAAGTGTTTCACCACCCGCGTTGTAAAAAAAATGTCTTCCTAATATCTAGCCTAAATCTGCCCTCTTTTCAGTTGAAAACCGTGGCCCCTTGTCCTGCCGCAGCAGGCCCTGCTCAAAAGCTCGCCTCCCATCTTTGTTTTAGTCCCTCTCCAGTTTGGAAAGGCCGCAGTAAGGTCTGCCCAGGAGCCTTCTGCCCCCTGAACTGTCTTAGGCTCCTTGGGGTGGCAACAGGGGGGGAGACCCAGGACACTGGCATCCAGCTAGAGGTGTGAACCTGAAAAGTTACAGTCTAAAACTCAGAAGGCTCACAGACAAGACATTCTCAATAGTAGGAGCAAAATATTTTGCTCTTGTGAAATCCCAGCACCCAGCCCCCCAGCGAGGCCCCCCCAGTGCCATCGAGGCCAAGTGCTGCCTCAGTTCCCACCTGGCAGCAGTGCCAGGACCCGAGGTTAGATCTCCTAACACTCAGCCTTGCGCTGTGCCTGTGACACTGTCCTGCCTCAGTTTTCACAACGTGGCATTTGTGTGGTCCTTTTGTTACAGCAATGTCATTTTTTCTTTTTCCCCTGTGCCAGACTGCTGCTCAGCCAGCCTATTCAGCCCATGATGCCTGGGTCCTGCAATGCAAGACACCCTTCAGACCTCAGCATGGCAGGATCCCAGGCTAAGTATGTGACTTGTCAAAGATAGAACATCAAAGTTGCTTTGGGGGGAAATAATCTTCTTTAGCAAGATGACGAAGGAGTTATAAATATCGGGAACATGTTCTTGTGCGGAGCCTGCCTTGCAGCACCAGGATCAGCCTTACACTGGTCACATCAGGGAGGGTGACAGAGAGAAACACAACATGCCAGTGGCGTTTTAACCAGCCAACGCTGGGGGGATGTTTTCTCCCTCACATGATGCTTGTGTCAGCGCTGGAACATCTGACCCACCAAGGTGAATTTGAGAGAGGAAGTCAGCCCTGGCCCAGTGGAAATGATCCCGGCTCTCTGGGCAGTGAGGTGCTGCTGTGGGGCCAGTGGATCTGGGCCTGATCTACACTGGCAGAACTGAAAGAACCAACAGGTCCTTGCACCTGAGCGCACTTAGAAAAGCTGCTGAACAAATCACCTCAGTTGTTTGTCTCCTCAGAACTTGGATAAAGGAGGCCGAGAACATCAGTCAGAATATGCCTTTTTCGTTTTCCTTAGCTGTGTTTTGTCAGTGTATGTAATTGCAAAGTGCTAAAATAATAGGCAACTGTTTGCACATCATTACTTTCAAACTAATTTTGTATGTCACCTCAGGAATGGAGGTATTCAGTACTTCTTTATTTAAAAATCACTATTGCTGTTTAAGATTATCTTGAGTTTAATTTGTCAACTTGAAATACACAGCATTTTACATCTGCTTTTATGCATCTAAATAATACAGCTCTAATTTGCAAAGAGACATCTCCCAGTTCGTGTAGACTTCCTGACTCACGGGATGCTTTTTTAGGAGTTCACATCTTAGTACAAGTACCCAGACCCGTAGCATTTCTGACTAACCCCTAATGTTGAACAGCTGTTGAGTGAACACATGCCACACTATGATCTCATCACCCATTACAGGATAAACAGAGTTAAGCTGTCTTGGCAATAGCTCCGTTGTGGTTTTGTCCAGAACCTTCCACACAACAACACATATTTAAGTTTTACTATGCAAAAAGCACACTGGCAAGAGGAGCCAAGTATTTTGTTTCTGTCCCATCCCTCACTCCAGAGGACTTTTAGCAGCTTCTTCTGTTCCTACAGTGGGGCTCACAGCAATGGGAACTGGTGACCGTACTTGGCAATAGGTATATGAGCAGCTTAAAAAGTAATCAACCCTACCCTTCTTTCTGCAAGAGATTACCACCCCACAGGCAGTCAGAGGGAGCACAGGCAGCAGAATGGGAGAAGTGTTAACTTCCCTCTTGCTGCAGTTCAGAGCTCAGCATATTAATACAGAATCAAAGGCTACTTGGTTTAATGAGCCTGGGATGTGAGTGCTGTGGCTAAAGAGAAGACATGCAGAAACCAGAATCTGTAATAAATCTAAAATGCAGTCTGTATTTTGAGGTGAGGTGTATTCTGCCCTCCAAGTCCAGCTCATGCACAGATTAAGGGAAAACAGTGCTACCAACAGTGCCATTGTTCATACCAGCACGTCCCATGCGCTGGAATCCTTTATTAGGAATTATTTATGAAGACTAAGGACTTCCATCCCTATCCTAAGAGAACACCTTTGCTTCCAGCAGTTTGTTCTTGACCATTTTGCTTCTTTCTTCCACAGATACTCTCAAACCCAACAAATGTTTCAAAGTTTGGAAGTGCAGACTTCCAGCAGCGGCTCTCCAATCGTACTGATGGGACAAGCAGTGTTAAACCAAGGGTTCGCCACTACACCTCCTTCCCAGCCATCCTCTCTGGCACCTATGCAACTCCAGCACCAACAGCATCAGCAACAACGCTACCTGCAGGTAGGGTAGGACAAAGAGGATGCTGTGTAAAATGCACACCTACAGCAAAAAGGCCAACAGGCTGTGCAAACAGGGCCCCAGGTTTCAGCAAGAGCCCAATAATGGCAGGAATGTCCATTTTAGAGATACTGAAATATGCAAGATGCTGGTAGAGTGTTGTGTGTCCTTCCAGGATAGCAAGGGAACAGTGAGAAGAGTCAGAATATTTCAAAGGCAATTACTAAGTCTGTATATTGGAAACATAATCAGATTATCCCGGATGTATTTAAAGTGTGTTTCTAGACAGAGAAAATTGCTGCCTGAGGATTTATTCTGTACTCTCTATTCAGTATAAAATTTGCTTAGTTTACAAGTCAAAAGATGATTTTTAATTACCAGCATCAACATAAAATGAGAACTGGATCAGATAGTGGGGTCCCTTCAGTAAACTGACATATTTCTTCAACCCCACAAGGCAAAGAAGATAAAATGGAGCACATTGCCTGGAGCAACCAGGTGATACAAACATGTAAAAATACTTCATTTTTTAACTCATTCAAAACATTCTAATGTAAATAGAAAGAGGAGGAATGAGGTGCCTCTGTATTAACTCAGAATGTGCTGAACTCAGTCTATAAAACCTCACATATCCACTGAAATAATGGAAATAGTATCATCAACCTCAGATTATTAAACTCTTGTTATTGAACTGAAATCCTTACCATAGCTGAGAATTAATGAAAAAACTATGTCAAATACCAGTCCAAATGGAAGCATCTGCAAAATTCACACTGAGTTCACCTCTGCAAAGTCACGCCCTACTGTAAATTCACAAAAAGTCTAGAAGGGACAGCATGAAGTACACTAGGTTCCTCTGTTTCATTTCAGTCACCCATTTGTGTAATTTCTGACACATTTACCCACCCTGTTCCTAAGAAGGCTTTTCAGGATAACCTGCAAATCCTAGGCAGTGTATTCTTACTAGAAAACCTTTTTCAATGCCTAATTGTAACGTTCTCTGTTGCAGTTTATGTCCATTACTTCTAGCATTAGGTAAGGTAACCCCATGCCAAACAGACCCAGAAATAAAAGCCAGCAAACCAGTAGTATTCTTAAGTACCTTGTACATTGAGGATGAAGAGCTTTAACATGTGAAAGAATCGAACACCGTGATGAATTTTATTTTATCTATAGGTGCAAACACCAAGTTCTTTGCACAATGAGCAACCTGATTCTTTGCTCCTGCCATCTTACTCGCCACAGCAAGGAAATAGGGGGTATCATCAGACACAGCAGCAGCAGCAGCAGCAGCAACTAACATCAAGAAGAAGCAATAGCTTATCAGAATCATCCAATTTACCACAGCCACTGCGATAGAGTCCCACCAGCACAATCAATGCACGATTAGCTTTAACCAATGGGTACATGGGGCAGAAGAGAATGACGCTGTACTTACTGTTTTGGCTTTTGCACAAGCTGTTCTTTCAAAGCTCTATGACAGAAGTACGCCACAGAGTGCAGGACTTCCACAACAGTGCATTTACAGCATGCTGGGTTCAGGTTGCACTGTCTCGTGAGCACAGTATGTACTGAGAGAGCAAAATAAAAAGGAACACTGTCCTGCGCCGCCTCCATCATCAAGGGGTGTGCGGGAGGAGGCGCTCAATCCCGGCGTGTCACTCTGACAGCTATCTGGCAACTCCAAAAGACTGTTGACAGACTCATGAGGTACTTGGCCTTCACTGTTTCAGTTCTTCTTTTGTGTATGAAAAGCACTGCATCAAAGGTCTATTGAGGAGAGAACAAGAGATTATTTTTGTTATGATTATTGTTATTATTTTGCACAACTGCACAGAGGACAAAACCTAGGCACTTTCTGTAAAGAAAAGTTGGTTTCCTTATTCTTGTGGCCAAATTAGCACAACCAATGGAGGAGAAAGCCCAGTCATTGGTGAAGATGGTCTATGGCTCACAACCCTTGATTTAGAATCTGAAAAGTATTATGCAGCTTACCCTAACTGTTCTTCATTACTTAAAAAAACAAAACAAACAAACCCCACAATTCACACTGGACTGTTTTCTATATGAATTGTGTTTGCAAAGGAGAACTCGAATTGTAAGCACAATCTTGCAACAATCTCCAATATTACAACACAGATCCTTCTTCGACCTAAGTAACTCACCCACTGCAAGTCTCTGAGAAATATGCACTGTGTTTTGGCCCACTGACTTGGGATGCTGCAGACTAGTACATATCTCTTTCATTATAACATTTAGGATTGAATTTTCCTTTGGGGAGAAAAAAAAGAAATGCACTTTTCGCTTTTTTTGTATGTTTTCCGTTGATATGTTTCTAAGAAAGATTTTATGTAATTAATAAATAAAAAGTAGTGTATTGTACAGTTGTTGTAATAATGACCTATTTCTATATAAAATAAAATTATATGGAATTATGTGGAAATTATTTTGTATATGAAATATCAACTCATTTCACAAGTATAAAGATTGTGCTTGTGCTTTTTTGTGAGTGGATATTTTGTAATAAACTAATAAATTAGAAATGTTTTTGTGAAGGGAACTACTGTTTCATGCTATATACAACTCAAACTACTATTTTTTTCCATTTAATGATGGACAGTTATCTCTATTTGTAGAATAAAATAAAATAGCCAAAAGGCTTTATTGCAGGACTTACACACATTTTCCTGTGGCTGTTCAACTATGTGATTCACTTGAAGATTGTTAATATTAGCCATAGCCTGGTAAAGTGCTTGGCAACCCTTTGGCAACACCAAATGTTATTTTATGGGATCTTTGTCATGGCATAGATGACAGGAATGATAGCTCAGGAAGTTCTGCCAGCCCACACAGCTCATTTTAAGCTCCTTTACTACTTCAAAGACCTCAGGTATCTCTTTACTTCCAACCAACTAGTTTTAGATTGGGACAAAGCAGATAGTTTAAAGAATGGTTTGACCCAGCACATACCAGGGCTTTGATCCATCTCCAGCTTCCATGTTTTAAGACATCACTGTCCTGAGTTTTGTGGTACATTTCTGCTGGAATTGCTACTCTGCCAACTCTGTAGACAGCCCAGTTTCCACTTTGGCATCCTTGTGAAAACTCTTCTTCTCTTGAAATTCAAATTTACTACAGAATGGAGAAGCCAAGGTACAGGTCTACTTTGCCTCTGCTGACTGATTGGAAATGTTATAGTGGCTTTCCAACACATAAAGAGGACTTAAAAGAAAGCTGGGCAAGGACTTTATGTAAGGGCATGGAGCAGTAAGACAAGGGGTAATGTTTTAAACTGGAAGAGGGTATAGATATTAGGAAGAAATTCTTCACTATAAGAGTGGTGAGACACTGAACAGGCTGCCCAGGGAAGTGTGGATTCCCCCTCCCTGGAAGTGTTCAAGACTAGGTTGGGTAGGGCTTGGAGAAACCTGGTCTAAGTGGGAGGTGTCCCTGCCCATGGCAGGGGGGTGGAACTAGATGATGTTCAAAGGTCCCTTCCAACCCAAACTATTCTATCATTCTATGATTCTATGACTCTGCTGCAGGAGTAACAACCTCCAACACCAGAATGAGGAGAATAACTGAGCATGGTATTGTTTTCATTCACCACAGAGAGACTGAAAAAAGGAGGGCCCTCAGAGCACCTTGCAGCCACCTGAGGCAGCGTTGCCTTCAAGGGAGTGCAGAACGCACTGTCCTTCCACCCCTTGAGTAGCAAGGATCTTGTCACCAGGGCCCACATGTTCAGCTTTGGTTTCCATGCCAGAGGAACAATTGAGATAATTGGATTGGGAGTTTTAAATGGTAAAAGTGAACTTTCAGAGAAATAAAAAATGTTCACTTGCCTGAAGTTCAGAAAAAGCTAAAAAACTGGAGAAAACCACTGGCAAAATGACCCTGCTTCTTCCAGAACAAGACTGGCTGGTAGCACGTGTATTTCAGTCCACAGAATCCCTTTGTTATACTTCATTGAAGGAAGATGAGGAAATAAGAGTATGTGGTGTGTTTAGACATCAGATCTCATTTCTGAGAAAGTGATTTTACTGCTAGCATTAGGTATCAGTTTGAGTTGGCATCCTCATCTCCTTGAATTCTTGCCTTCAATGAAGCAACAGTGACCCCACCAGAGCTAAATCTTAAGGTGCTTTGACTTGATGTCTGAAAGAACCTCTCTCTTTCCATTAACTTTAGACAAACCTTAGCAAAGGCCAGTCAGCTAAGTTACTGTCTAAGTTCATAAATGCCACCCACTCCTCTAAGGGCTTGTTCTGGGAAAGGGGAGGGGAATTTTGTCTGTTTGCAAGCCAAAAAGTTAATGCAGGAAAGAGCCAATGAAGGGATATGAGCGCCTCAGAGGAAGTTATCTGTGGAAGTAGCACTTGATGGATCCCAACTACTATGATGGAAGTCACAGGAAGAGAAAACTCCTTTAAGAATTTGTTCTACTCACAGGGGTAGTTATAATACACCCACATCTTTCCTGATTGCCAGTATGTCCAAACCAAGCTCAGCCTCAGAACAAACACCTAACTTTCTCAAACCAGCAGTGCTCTTAAGTCATTAACAGGGAAAAGCTGTAATTAGGGTGCGGCTGCCTCCCAATAAACTGGCTTCTCGCATTGTTTGGAAAGATAGAACTTGTAACAACCAATCTACATCAATGCTTTGTCTCCTCTCCTCCCCGTACACTTGTTTTGCCTTGGATTATCACACCAGCTCCCGGCTGCACACACAACGCACCAGCAGTGAGTGTTGCTCTTCACAGAGCTGGGCCGCCGTTCCAGCTCATCCTCGCCCAGACAGGGCTTGTCCCAACACGGATCACTCGGCTCGGGCCACTTTTCCAGGCAGACAGGCCGGTTGCTACAGAGCCCTGCCCCCGGCGGGAGCAGGAGCCGCAGACCTGGAAGCACCGCGACCCCCGAGCAAGAAAGAAACCCCCTGAGCAGGAGGAGGAGGCAGAGGGAAGGCCCGGCCCTCGGCTCGCCCTGCCCCGGGGCAGCCAGGAGC